CTCTTCTTCCCACTCACCATGCCCTGGGGTTCCCATTTTAAATATTTCAATAGGTGGGTCGTGACCTCTTGTAATTCAACAACGGGGTAGGGAGTCATTTTTAAATCTTTGGTATCTTTACACTCCAAAATCTGCTTAAAATAAAGCAAACCCCAAAACTGACACAGGAACTCTTCTTGTATGTTTGGATGGTGTTTTAGCTCATTTAGCCCTGGAAAGGGACATTTTAAAAAATGTACTTGGAAGGAGATAAAAAGGACATTATTAGGTTTAAAAAATATTTTTTACCTGTATTACCAGTAAGGCTTTAGATTATTGAAATTGAAAATTTGAAACTCTAACTTCTTCTTCGCCCTTTCGGTTGGTTCCATTTTGCCTTTAACTCAATTTGGACAATAAAACGTTTCTGGTTCTTATGTACTAGTACAATGCTGCAACATTGGGGTGGCAGACACTAAACAGGAAACCTCTAAATCCAAACACAAAACACTGACATGAAAGAAAATAATAAAAGCACTTTTGTAAGTTCTCCCTCTCCCAGCTCCTTCCTTTTTAAACAAAGCCTAATTGCTTAAACCCTAAACTATCTGACAGTGTCCTTTTTAGGGGCTTGATCCAAAGCCCGCTTTAATCAATAGAAAGACTCCCATGGACTTCAGTGGGCTGTGTATCAGGCCCTATGATTAAGATGCTAATCCTGAACTGAATTTGGTTTTTTTTTTGAGAACATGGAAGTCTCTCCATGGGAAAACAAATAAAAACAACACTAATATTCATTAATATTTTTATACCTTTGAGCATAAAATGTTATCCTATTTTAGAATTAACATCTGACTGTCCTCAAATCAAAACCACACCTCTCCCAGCACCATACCATTGAGATTGTCTTTCAGTTGAACTGCAGCTGAGCTACTTTATCTTCCTTTTCTAACTGAAGAATGGAATTCATTGGTGAAATCTGTATTTTAAAATAGAAAAAGTAGTTTCATTTTTAAATACTGTTATCCCATAAACCTTCACCCACAACTCCCCACCCCTTCAGACCAAAAAATTTAAGTACAGAAACTGTTCACAGACTCTGAGAATTGCTCCTCTTTCATATACGATACTTGAAATATACAATATTCAGAATTTCTAATAGTTACTGTGTCCCCTATGGAAGCAGTTAGCAGGAAATAGGCAGAGTTGGTAAGAGAAGAGGCATTCTAGTTCCAATAAGAAGTTTTTTTTAGCTTTCCCCACTATTTAACTTACATATGCCTCCTGTAAGATATAGTGGAGTCTCTTTTTCTTTCATTTAGACCAGTGGTTCCCAAACTTGTTCTGCCACTTGTGCAGGGAAAGCCTCTGGCAGGCCGGGCCGGTTTGTGTACCTGCCGCGTCCGCAGGTTCGGCCGATCGCGGCTCCCAGTGGCCGCGGTTCACTGCTCCAGGCCAATGGGAGCTGCTGGAAGCGGCGGCCAGTACATTCCTTGGCCTGTGTAGACCTGCCCTAAATGAGTATTGTGTGGCCAGATCCTCTGAAAATCAGCCAGAGTATTCTGACATCTTTACTCTTTAAGGGTTTATTAGTATATTTGTTTATGGATAAAACCGACCTTGTCCATGTATTCAACAAGAAAATATTTTTCAGTTATGTCAAACAATTCTTCTAGTGCAGTGGTTTTCAACCTGTGGTCCATGGACCCCCGAGGGTCTGCAGACTATGTCTGAGATTTCCAAAGGGGTCCATACCTCCATTAAAAAATGTGTAGGGGTCCGCACATGAAAAAAGGTTGAAAATCACTCTTCTAGTGGCACTTACCTTAAGATAGATCAGTTACTTTGAATATTTCTGCCACTTGGCACTTCTATAGCTCCTTACATCCAAGGGCCTTAAAGTGTCTTTCAAATCTTAATGAATAAGCTTCACATGGTGGTTAAAATACCAATGGTCAGCCTGCACTAGAGCGCCCACCATTGCTACTGCTGGTGGCACTGCATTAGCGGTACAATGGAAAGAAATGGAGGGAGGGGAAAGTGCTAAAAGCCATTTTAAGAACAGTGTAAAAACTATTCTGAACTGGGTAGGGTGTAACAAGGCCTGGGTTAGTGCTTAGAGCAGGAGTAGATGAGACCGTGTTCAAAACACCCATGGCCTTTAGCCGCTGTCTACACTAGACAGAGGAGCTGCCTGGGTGGTAGCAACGCTGGGAAATGTTAAAGGGGAAAGAGCTAGACTAGACAGATGTTGACTGATATTTGTAAAAGTGGCCTCCCTTATTTGATTTTGCTTTGAGCTTCCCTCTGATACTGTTTCCATGTGAGCGGTAGCTAGATTAAGAGATGGCTTCAGTGGGAGCTTTTAAGTGCACAAGAGCTGCAGGTGAGACTCATATGTAGGAAGGGATGTGCATGGTTAGGAGGAGTCTCCATAAAATGTCTGCAGATTACGTAAACCAGAATAAAAGTCCTCACATATTTTACTGTAATTTTCCACAGATTTCTTCTGTGCCCTGTATCAAAGTTGTGAATTTTGCTTACACCGTTGTCTTCATGTGGCAAGTAATTGGTACTACAGGTCCATGTTTATAACCATTGGGTAAAATTTTCAGAAGCGGCTAAATCCCCCTAGAAGCCTAAATCCTATTGAATTTAAATGGGATTTAAGAGCGAAAGTGACCTAGGCACTTTTGAAAATTTTACCTATTTCTTTTTGCGTAACCATCAAAAAAAGATCTTTATTACAAGTACATGAAGAAATTGTCGTTGTTTATATGGGAAGGGTTTTGTGTATATTAAAGAATGTATGATACATGCTAGTGAGTCTGTATTATGTCTCAAAGGTCAAATTGTATATCTTTTGTCCATTTAATATGCTGGGATTGACCCACGAGTGCTGACCACCTGCAAACCCCATGGCCTCCAGTAGGGATTGTAAATGTTTAGCCCCTCCCTAAATCAAGCCCTTTTATGAGTGGAATTTATCCACATCATTCACCTCTTTAAACTGTAGATACACCGATGTCCAATCCTTACAGTCCAGAATATTTCAGTAACAAAATATTCTAAGTCAGTATAATTTGGTAAGAGAAGTTCATCCTCTTATAAGGATGATCTGCAAAGGTTTGTAATAAAAATTGGGCTTGTGCCCTTCTTTGTGATATGTAAAGAAGGCCTGGAAGTAGGTTTGGTTTGCAGTGTTGTTTCTGGGGGCGGGGGTGTCTTCTATTAGATTTTTTTTCTGCTTGTTTATTAACCATAGAAACATCAGGAAAGTTAATTTTGGTTTTCCCTGGTTTTGCTGGAGGCTTTCTTGACAGTCTCATAGCATGTTTATTATGAGCTCGTAACACCTTCATTGAAGGAAGTGTTGTGATAAATCTTTAGTAAAGGTTTCCTTTCTCCAAAATGTTCATTAGTCATTGAAGTTAAATAGATATAAACTGAGTTTTAAATGTTCTGACTAAAAATCTCTTCCTTTCTCAATTGCTCAGCTTTTGCTGTCTTGGCCTTTGTGAAGTGTTGTGCTTTGTATAATACGTTATGTGCTTATAACAAAATGAGTGATTATACCTGCTACACCAATGTAAGGTAAAACTTGGGGGAAATTGTGAGACTTCTGCACAAGCTACTATATTTGTTTAATCATGAACAATTACACTTGTACTATTTAGTGTTTGTGTGTGTGTGCCTGTATTGATTAATACACCAAAGTCATAGTGAGCATCCCATTGTGACAAGAAGAGATAGATGCTCCGATACTGCTATTAAAGCACGTCTTTGAAATTCAACATGGTGATTGTTTTGAGGCCAGAGACCTTTTGTTCATCCCAGGAATTTTTATGCAGATTTGCCTGAGTAAAAATTGCTTCTTGAAAATCACCATTTCCTATCTCCAGCCTGTGTTTTGCGAAATATAATTTTGGTAGTATGTCAGAATCCCTGAACATTCTAAGACCAGGTCCTCACTGCCCCTCACGACACCTGGGAAGAGAGAGAATGTGGCAGCAGAATAGATGCCCAGTGATCAATCCCTGCCTCTGCGGTCATATCCTGCAAATGTGACATGAACCCCGGAACAGAAACAAACACCAATAATAATGGGGAACCAGGACAACATGAGTTCAAGACTCATTTATCATTAATGTTAATATTTCCCTTCACACCTTTTATAATTAATCAATATCTCATTTTCCACTGAGAGGTTGCACAAGCAGGAATAGAGCCCAACTCCCTAATAGGCTGGACACAAATCGCATTCTCTTAACCAGGCTGCTTCTCAAAACAAACCTGCGACATCTTTCTGCAGAATTGAAAGGCCAGGGTTCAACCTCTGCTAATGGGGCTGGTGATATAATTGTACATAATAGAAAATGTTTCTGCATTTTTTTTCCTAAACCTAACAAACTAGGAAACTGTATACAAAATATACTTTCTTTAAAGAAAGTTATTAGGTTGAAAAATCAAGAATGCAAAAGATGGGAAATGCCAGAATTAAAGTGCAAATGCATTATTTTAGTATGATCACATATTAATAGATGATCCCGTGGTATTTTAATGTAGCTTTTTAATCTGATTGTAACAGCACACATCCATTATGAACCTCACAGTATATACAGGTTTATAAACTTGAACTTAAAAAATGTATTCAGACTTAAACCTTGTGTAACATACCAGGAATGTTGATAATGGAAGCAACAGTATTTTAGTCAGTCACCTTAAAGTACATTGTATAAATAGTTATTTAGAAACCTCATAAATAACTAGGATTCTTCACATACCAAAAACCTGGTGTGAGGCAGCAATATAGCAGTTACAATCTTTCTTATCAAAGATCTCTCATGGTTTCAGTTCAAAAATTCAACCTAGTATTCCCTAATATTTTTTTTAAACTCTGTATAGATCCATTATGTTGAATAAATTTAAACTATGCAATAATTCAGATCTGTCTTGCTACTTTTGAACAGCTGATCAGGTCCCTTTCCTAACGATGAGGTCTTTCTTTTTATTCATTTCAGTTGAGGCAATCCCAGTCATACTGCACAGACACAGAATGCCTTCAAGAATGTAAGTAACCGTGTTCTAACTGGAAGTGTATGAGATTAGGACTCCTGTGAAAGTCAAAATAAGTAGCAATAATTTAACTAAAATGAGATGTTGTATGCCTGGATCTTTTTTTCTTTCTTGCAGAGTTGTGGTTTGAATTAATCTTTGTCAGATTTAAATGAATGTATGTTATGGGCCACATCCTGGGCTGAGCAACCCTGAAACCCATTGGTGTCAATGTGAGTTGCAGGAGTGCAGCACCTTTCTCAATTTGTCCCCAAGTCTAATGGAATTTAGCCTAGTAACTTTCAGGGTTCAAACTTGACCTTCCTTGCACCTGCAAGGACCATGGTACTAAGTGGGATTCACCCGAGGCAGGAGAATCATGGTTTTTCCAATACACAGAGGTTGTGCCAGGGGAGGGTGGTTTTAATGTCCACATGTAGCACTATGGGAGCCCTGCCAGCGAAGACTGCAGTGGGACTGTGCTGAATCAATACATCCCCTGAATGCCTTGGTCATGCCCCCTCCATGGCTAGTGCCATTCACTTGTAGGATTGTGCAGTCTCTTTGAACCACTGTGACCCCCCCACCCCCACGCCAAGAAGAGTTTCCTTCACAGAAGGGCCTCTGCCAGCATCTGCCTGTGAGGGAATCTGATCCATTATGCACCGTATACACGGCAGGGGTTCTCAGGACAAATTATTTGGTGGCCTCAGGGTGCGGCCACCAACTCTTGCTAGTGGCCGCTCTCACACTTCTTCCTAAAATATTTAATTACCTTTAGGAAAAACAAATAAATATGCACATACACACATCCAAATAATTGTAATTTATTTATTGCTAGTTAGTAAGTCTGCTGTGAAAAGTGATATTAACAACATACAAGTATCACTTTTTACAGCAGATTTACTCAGCCCTAGGAAGTCTGGGGACAAATGAAGCCCTGGATGGGAGATCGGGGTAGGCAGCAGGGGCAATTGGGGAGGGCAGGTTGGCTGGGGAAAGCAGCGGGGGGCCAGAGCCTGAAGCCCCACAGCCGGAGCCCAGGGCTAGAGCCCAAAGCCTCACTACCAGAGCCTTCCTCCCCGCTGAAGCCCAAATTCTGAGCCCCACCGCCCCCACCAGCTGCCCAACTCTTGCTGGAAGCCCCAGCAACCAACACCAAGGCTGTGCATCCAGGAGCACCAGGGAGGGGGAGGGGCCGCTGCTCCCCCCCCCCCCCCCCATCACACCCCAGTAGGCTATGGCCACAAGAAAAGCCCCTGGTGACCGCATTTGAGAAATGCTGCACTAAAGTAGAGTGTGATGGCATTTCTCCCTGACTCAGTGGCCATTTCACTAATACAGCAGTGTTGAGGTGTATGTTGGCTTAAAATATGCTGTAAATTTCCTGTAAATAATAAGTGCACACTGACTGGACATCATCATGTTAGCCAAATGGGATCAATTCAGACATGGAAGTGAATCTGTGTGGAGATTCCATTGAAGATTTTGAGTGGCAGAGTGATCACCGCCTGGTAGAATTGAGCATTATGTAGTTACAATTTGTAGTCAGGTAATACAAACATTATTGTCTGTGAATGCATTTGGAGGGGGAGTGAGCAGCAGTGGGCAAGGGAAGTGTAGTTAAAACAATAGAGTAAAATTTTCAAGAGCACCTAACTGAGGAGCCTAATTTAGTCTTTGAAAAGCATCTCATTTAGGAGCCTAAGGCCCATTTTCTAAAGTAACTTAAGCCTTAGGAGCCTAAGTCTGACTGAAAGTCATCTTTGAAAATGGGCCTCAGGCTCCTAAATGACTAGATGCTTTAGGAAATTTTACCCCAAAGCTTGTTAATGCATAAAACCTTCAATGACACATATGTCCAGGCAGCATAATGCTCAACCAAGTAGTGGCAAAAAGAACAGGAGTACTTGTGGCACCTTAGAGACTAACAAATTTATTTGAGCAAAAGCTTTCGTGGGCTACAGCCCACTTCATCGGAAAGCTTATGCTCAAATAAATTTGTTAGTCTCTAAGGTGCCACAAGTACTCCTGTTCTTTTTGCAGATACAGACTAACACAGCTGCTACTCTGAAACCAAGTAGTGCACATACATGCTTGACTAAGCTGCCTGTTTCTGAGGGATGGATTTTTAGCCAATTGTTTCCACATGCATACCTGTCCTGGTGCTACAGGAACAAGCCTATCCTCATTAATTGAATAACGAGCACCTAGTGGGCCTGCTAAAAGACCATCAGGGCTCAGTTGGAGGAAAGTGCTGAGAGAAACACAAGCCCTTCTAAGACCACATATACACTACACCTTATGTTGGTGTAACTTACGTTGCTCAAGGATTTGAATAAACCACCCCCTTGAGCGACGTAAGTTATACTGACCTAAGCGCTGGTGTAGACCAGGGTTCTCAACCTTTTTCTTTCTTAGCCCCCCCCCCCCCCACATGCTATAAAAATTCCATGGCCCATCTGTGCCACAACAACTGTTTTTCTGCATATAAAAGTCAGGGCCAGCGTTAGGGGATAGTAAGCAGCACAACTGCCTGGGGCCCCACACTATGGGGGGCCCTGTGAAGCTAAGTTGCTTTGGCTTCAGCTTCAGCCTCAGGTGGTGGGGCTTCGGCTTTCTGCCCTGGGCCCCAGCAAGTCTAATGCCAGCCCTGATTGGCGGACCCCTGAAACCTGATTGTGGCCCCCCAGTGGGCCCCAGACCCCTGGTTCAGAACCACTGGTGTAGACAATTCTCCTGCCAACATAGCTACCACTGCTCATTGGGGCTGGAGTAATTAAGTTGACAGAAGAGCTCTCTCCCATCAACTTAGAGCATCTGCTCTAGCAGCACTACAGTGGCGCGCAGCTGTATCAGTACAGCTGCGCCACTGTAAACTCTGCAGTGTAGACATAGCCTAAGAGAGAGAGGAGCTCCCAGAAACCACAGGCCCCAAGGATGAGAGCTATGCAATCCCTGAGGCCAAGGGGAGAGGCTATAGACCAGAGAGGCCAGGACTGAGAACCACAGGACTGCACCCTTAGCAAGTTTGCAGATGACACTAAACTGGGAGGAGTGGTAGATACACTGAAGGGTAGGGATAGAATACAGAGGGACCTAGACAAATGAGAGAATTGAGCCAAAAGAAATCTGATGAGGTTCAACAAGGACAAGTGCAGAGTCCTGCACTTAGGATGGAAGAATCCCATTCACTGTTACAGACTAGGGACCGAGTGGCTAGGCAGCAGTTCTGCAGAAAAGGACCTAGGGGTTACAGTAAATGAGAAGCTGGATATGAGTCAACAGTGTGCCCTTATTGCCAAGAAGGCTAACGGCATTTTGGGCTGTATAAGTAGGGGCATTGCCAGCAGATCGAGGGACGTGATCATTCCCCTCTATTCGGCATTGGTGAGGCCTCATCTGGAGTACCGTGTCCAGTTTTGGGCCCCACACTACAAGAAGGATGTGGAAAAATTGGAAAGAGTCCAGCGGAGGGCAACAAAAATGATTAGGGAGCAGGAGCACATGACTTATGAGGAGAGGCTGAGGGAACTGGGATTGTTTAGTCTCCAGAAGAGAAGAATGAGGGGGGATTTGATAGCTGCTTTCAACTACCTGAAAGGGGGTTCCAAAGAGGATGGATCTAGACTGTTCTCAGTGGTACCGGATGACAGAGCAAGGAGTAATGGTCTCAAGTTGCAGTGGGGGAGGTTTAGGTTGGATATTAGGAAAAACTTTTTCACTAGGAGGGTGGTGAAGCACTGGAATGGGTTACCTAGGGAGGTGGTGGAATCTTCTTCCTTAGAGGTTTTTAAGGTCAGGCTTGATGAAGCCCTGGCTGGGATGATTTAGTTGGGGATTGGTCCTGCTTTGAGCAGGGGGTTGGACTAGATGACCTCCTGAGGTCCCTTCCAACCCTGATATTCTATAATTCTGTGACCCAAGGAGAAGGGCAGTGTAAGACCTGAGCCCAAGGGGAGAGACTATATTTGAAGTCTATTTGTATTTAATAAGTAGAAGCCTAGCATGGGAATTTTGTCTTACGCCTGTTTGGACTTCGTGGAGTTCTGAAAGAGTCCTGAGAAAAGGGAAACTGAGGCAGGAAGTGCTTGCGGCGCCACACTAGGTCAGCAGGGGATGCTCTGGTGCAGACATACCTCACCACACCTGGGCTCCTATACATGTCTGCACTCTGGCAAGGACAAACAACTGAATATATTAAAGAATTTTTATGGGTTTGCACCTGCAAAGTGCGGAGACAAATGTGTCTGAGTAGAAGCTTGCTGAAAATACACATCAAAATGTGTTGTCCTAATTAGAACTCCATTCATGTTTACTCTTAAAGCTTATTATTATGTCCAAGGCTTTATCTTAGTTACAGGATTCAGATAAAACACAGTTGAGTCCTGTCCACATAACAGATACAACTATGCAGTGCAGTGTCGTAATGGGTCAGGACACAGCTATGTTGTAACCAGGTTCTCTGACTAAGTTATGCTTATAGTGCAGATGTGCCATTAGATTTTCCCAGTTGCCATTAAAAGGAATGAAAGAAGGCAAAAGAATCACAGCTTGTACTTTAATTATCATTATTCATATAAGAAGGCTCAACAATTTAGATTTATTTGGCCTTTTAGAATGGTTGAGTTACAAATGCTTTGCTTTCTGCAATCACCTGATATTCATGCAAATTGCATATAATCATGGCTTTAAAAATTTACTTACTGTTTGTCCAAAATCAGCTATCTGAAGAGTAACTGTCTGCTCAGCAAGAATCAGTGTAAAGTTAGTCCAATCAGATAAGGATTGGAAAAGGACATCTTCTTCTTCCAGCGTGGTGCAGCTGCTTTGCACCATGCCACCACTGTATTCTGGTTGTAAATCTGGTTCAACTGGTCCAGGGAGGATGATCCTAATTTAAAATGATCCTTAGATGGCATTTAGCCTCTTTCACAGGTATGGAATTTTACAATGAGTTGCAAGCATCCAGTCACTTCTGAGAAGGAGAAAGGGGCATGTATGTCAGGGGATAG